AGGCACAGGTGAAGGAATGAGCTAGAGGAGGAGGCACAGGTGAAGGAATGAGCAAGAGCAGGCACAGGTGAAGGAATGAGCAAGAGCAGGCACAGGTGAAGGAATGAACAAGAGGAGCAGGCACAGGTGAAGGGTGAACAGTTCCCCTCTCAGCCTCTGAAAAGTCTCCCCAGTATTGCTCCATGTATTCATGTAATCAGAAAATTCCCAATAAAATTAACAGGATGACACTTTCTCTACTATTTTCTGACCAAACCCATTCTCTTATGGGTAATTGAAGAACTTGGTGTTTATTCAGAATGTGAATCTTGGACAAACTGGTGATGACTGATTTTTAAACTTTAAATTTTTTATGTTTTTAAAGATTTTTAAAGTTTTTAAACTTTATTTGTGATCAGTATGATTTTTTTAAGGCTCTTTTTTTATTTTTTTATTTCAGGCTCGTTAGGAAAAGAACTCTGGGGTTGTTTTAGTCTTCACCTTGGCTCATATAATTTAATGAGAATAAAATAATAATCCCCAAAGTAAGACCCACCAATGTTTTAAAATATAAAAGATCATTAAATGTGACTTTAAAACATAGTACTTTCGTTACGCATGTGGATGGAACTTAGTAAAAGTGTTTCTACTCCCTGCAGTACAGAGCATCAATACTTGGTATTTATTTCCATTTAGACTTGAATGTGGGATGAAAGACCTGATGGCTATACAAGTTTGCAGTGATGTCCAATTTTAATTGAGGATAACAATCGTATTTTATTATTTATCCATCCCTTACAAGTGGGTTTCTGGCAACTAATCAAATACATTTGCTTTTAGTCAGGCATAAGCCAAGTGATTAGAAACTTCGGTCTAATAAAGATGTTCTTTCCAAACCCTAGAGTAGTGGCCTCCAAATCCTGTTTCAATTTCACACCTCGACCAGTAAGAACATACGTGCCCAAATGCCCACCACACGTGTAATTCTTTATAAATTACGTAATCTGTTTAACGACAGAAACAGAAGTCCTCATCTTGTCGCACTGATCCCAGTCTGGACTGTGCCGGGCAGGATTCGGCCCTGGCTCCCTGCGATGAAGGTTGGTGAGCAAAGGTCTTTCAGAGTCAGGTCACCGAGGGAATGTAGCTCAAAAGCAGCTGGCTTGAATTAAGCCTTTCACCAGAAATTAGTATTCAATGATTAAATGATGATTTGAAATACTTTATTTCCATCAGAGTAGGTGTATTATGGTCATGCAAACTGCTGTATTTCCTTCCAAGTGAAAAGAGATAGACTGCTGATTTTAATGTAGGATAAGGAGAAAGGTAATGAAGCTACAATATATCCTTGAAGCATGCCAAGAGTGGGAAGGCAAGAGAAAGGAGGTTTATCTCACAAGCCCATAAACTGAACACTTTCCTTCCAGGAGATCAGCAGTCATCAACACAGCATGGAAAATAGTTAAGATTTGTGATAATAACAGGTACTGCAGTAGCACTCCGTGTGATTCTCCACTTTGGTATTTCCCATGACAGTGGCCTAAAGAGGTAGGGGGGAAAAAAAATATATATATATATATACACACAAAATTAAATATATATGTGCACATGCATACATAAATACATGCAAAATATCTATATATCACCAAATGAAGTAGATATATTTACACACTCTCCCATTACGCTTCTGTTTTCACTTTAAGAAGGTATGCTCACATTGGGTACATAAGGTATACTTTTACCAACCTGCCCATCTTCACGTCCATCTCTTCATGCTGAATAAATCCAGCCTGTATCCACAGGACTGCTGACTATTAATTAAGAGGGCCAAATGTAGCCTCTCCTGTATACGAGGCCATCAAAGGATGGGCACCTTTGGCATTAAAACCCACGATGCGTTCTGTGGCCCTTTCTCTGACTTGGCTCTTTGAAATCTTGCCAGACCACGTAAGTTCTCACCTTGGTAAATGCTTTAGCCACACAGCATGTAGCCTCTGAGGTGATGTTCTTTGGCACGAGCATTGTTTTCTTGGACCGTGCTGGAGTGGGGTATGCTCTGGAGAAGCAGCAGCCCATGCACTGATAAATTGGTGCACCCAGCTTGGAGAAGTATTTGTTTTCTTTCAGTTTGCATTCTGGGCAACCTTCCATTTAAAAAAAAGGGAAGATCAAACTTAGCCAAAAAGGATTCAAAAGAAACTGTGAATACTTCCCTACATATAAAATGATAAATGTTCTTTCTCCATTGAAAATAAATCTTTCTGCTATAAACTCATGTTCATGCATAAGATCCATTTGTACTGAATGTAGTGATTTACATGGGCAAACAGTGTTTACAGCTATGCACGGGAAATCACAGTTGTGGTAGTTTCTCTCTCCTCAAGCCTTGATTCTCTCCCAATGCAGGGAGCACAGAACATGCCAGATGAAAAACACCATGCTCATTTGAAAGAATTTTGCCCAGAGGCAAAATATTCTCTCCCTTGGTTCGGGCTATTGTTTTCAAATATTGACAGAGAAAAATATGTCAGAATTAAGAATGCTCAGTGTGTGCAGAGAGCCTGCTATTAGATCTGGCAGCTGCACTCGGGATTTAGGATGACAACATTACTATTTATCTGGAGAAAAATCCTAACCAATAGTGACTCACAATTTCATAGTCAATGAAGTTATACCAGCTAATATATGAGGTTTTTTTCAAACAATACAGCAAAACAAATTTACTGCATAAAATGTTTTTGTTTTCCTCATTTGTTAAGTGATGTGAAAATTCATCTACAAAGGAAATGTTAAATTTTCTCAAATCTTTTGGGAGAAATGTAAGGAAAAAAATGAGGCAACTAAATAAAAGACATTTCCTGATTGAAAAGCTCAAATAAAGAATAATAAGGAATCTACTTCAGATAAACATGTACGTGCTTCTACTTAAATGGACAAGTGAGATCTAATTCACTGTACATTTTCTGAGCCTAATTTAATTTTATGTTCACAATTTACAAGTGCCTAAATATATATCCACTAGGCAAATATTTATGATCACATTTGAAAAGGAGAAGGAATTGTAATTAACGAAGTTATTGATGTACAACTAGAAATGTACACTGTTCTTATTACTGCAAACCGAGTCTGACCACTCACCCTGCATAGAAAACTCTCCATCAGGAAAAGAATGGAGGAGATGCAGAAACACAGACAACGTAGCCAGGAAGACAGCTACATACTTCCTGTAGCAATCCATGGTCCTTCTGCCAAAAAGATCTGGGGGTGAAAAATAAAATTAATCAAAAAAAATTAATCTAAAATTTGCTGATACTTCATAAAAACAACCAACTGCTTAAATATTACTAGTATAATAATGGTTATTATCTTGACTCTTCTCCTTTGAGTTCCCTATACTCTAGACATTACTGCCAAGATAACTCTTTTTTTTAATAACTCTTTTTTTTAATCATTTTGTTGGGGGCTCTTACAGCTCTTATCACAATCCATACATACAACCATTGTGTCAAGCACATTTGTACATATGTTGCCATCATCATTTTCAAAATATTTTATTACTATTTGAACCCTTGGTATCAGCTCCTCATTCCCCCCCCCCCACTCCTTCCCTCATGAACCCTTTATAATTTATAAAAAAATTTTTCATGTCTTACACTGTCCAAAGTCTCCCTTCACCTACTTTCCTGTTGTCCATCCTCCTGGGAAGGGGTTATATGTAGATCATTGTGATTGGATCCCCCTTTCCCCCCCACCGCCCCTTGCCCTCCTGGTATAGCTACTCTCATTATTGGTCCTGAAGGGTTTATCTGTCCTGTATTCCCTGTGTTTCCAGCTCTTTTCTGTACCTGTGTATATGCTCTGGTCCAGCTGGATTTGTAAGGTTGGATTGGGGTCATGACAGTGGAGGGTGGGAGAGCATTAAAAAACTAGAGGAAAGTTGTATGTTTCATCGGTGCTATATTGCACACTGACTGGCTCATCTCTTCCTTGTGACCCTTCTGTAAGAGGATGTCCAATTGTCTACAGATGGGCTTTGGGTCTCCACACAATGCTCCACCTCATTCACATTGATAAGATGATTTGTTCTGGGTCTTTGATGCCTGATACCTGATCCCATGGACACCTCTTGATCACACAAAGTTAACTCTTTTAGAGGTGCTCCATGTGTGTCAGAGTAGAACTGTGCTCCATAGGGTCTTCAAGGTATATAAAATTTTGGAAATAGATTGGCAGGCCATTCTCCCAAGATGCCTCTGGGTGACTTGAACTGCCAACTTAGTGATTAGTAGCTGAGCACATTAATCATTTGCACAAACACATTCTAACATCATTAGCATCCAACACACTCTAAAAACAAGACAAAAAGCCTCGCTGTAGTCGAGTCGTTTCTGACTCACAGTAACCCTAGAGAACTGCCTAGTGAGTTTCTGAGCCTGTGTCCTTTTACTGGAGTAGAAAACCTCATCTTCCTCCTGAGGAGTGGCTGATGGTTTCAAGCCGATGACCACGTGGTTGGCAGCCCAGTGCATAACCACTACACCACCAGGGTTCCATATAGAGTTTTTGTTTGCATTTTAAAGAACAAGTTCACTGACGTTTCCTCTTAGGAAGAAAGTGAGAAGTTGAAACTTCCCATTCTTCATGCAAACCAGTTAGATTGGGCTCAATGGTAACAATAATAAATTCTCTCTTAAAATATTTTTGTTATTTTTTAGGTGCCATTGAGTTTGTTCCAACTCATAGCAACTTTATGTGTAACAGAAGGAAACACAGCCCATCCCTACACCATCCTGCCAATTGTTACGTTTAAGCCCATTGTTGCAGCTACTATGTCAATCCATCTCATTGAGGGCCTGCCTCTTTTCTACTGCCCCTCCACTTTACCAGGCATGACATCCTTCTCCAGGGACTGGTCTCTCCTGACAATACATCCAAAGTACATGAGAGGAAGTCTCTCCATCCTTGTCCCTAAGGAGCCTTCTGGTCAGACTTCTTCCAAGATCTGTTTGTTCTTTTGGCAGTTTATGTTACTTTCAATATTCTTAGCCAACACTATAGTTCGAATGCACTGATTTTTCTCTGGTCTTTCCGATTCAATGTCCAACTTTCACATGCTTAAAATACCATGGTTTGGGCAAGGCACACCTCAGTCCTCAAAGTAACACCTTTTCTTTTCAACACCTTCAAGAGGGATCATGCCTCAGTTTTACCCAATGTGTCCTTTGATCTCTTGACTACTGTTTCCATGAGCTTTGATTGTGGATCCAAGCAAAATAAAATCCTTGGCTACTTCCACATTCAAAACACCAGCAATTATCAATGCATGTTGCTTTTATGTTTGATCACTGTAGACAGCATAAAATTTTATTGCAAAACCAACGACTTCTGCATTGTAAGTCCCTGTCCATCAACACAGAGGTCTATACATGTAGATCTTCCTAGATGGAATAAAGAAGAATTAAATAAACTATATTGGTGAAGGAGATGGTGGAGTAGTTGCATATTACCAGCCAAAATGAGGCCAAGGACTGACTATGGACCCCAAAGCCCAAACTCACTGCCATCAGGTGATTGCTGATTCATAGTGACCCCTGTGAGTTTCTGAGACTTTAACTGCTTACAGGAGTAGGAAGTCCAATCTCTCTCCTTCAGACCTGCTGGTGGTTTCAAACTGCCTCCCACAGGGATTGCAGCACAATGAGCAACCACTACACCACCAGGGCTCCTTATGACTATGGAACAGACTGTTAATTTTTCATATTGAAGTTCAGGTTGAAATTGAAACACATCAAAGCAAGTCTATGGGAGATAAAATACAACCTTGAGTACCTTCCACTTGAATGTAGAGACCATCTCGAGAATGGATTTCATACAGTGACCACTAACAGACCAAAGACGAGAGGAGTTATGGGAGGACATCGAGAACAGCAAACATGAAGAAAGCAAAGGGCCACTAAGAAAACAGGAGAGAAAGAAAACACCCAAACTGAAACTAAAACAACTGAAAGAAAGGATGATTTAAGAGAGCTGAACAGGAGATTTCAAAGATAGGATGATACGGCAAAGTGAATTGCTATGAAATGTGCAAAGACCTGGAGTTCGAAACCCAAAAGAGAAGAACATGCTCAGCATTTCTCAAGCTGACAGAACTGAAGAAAAATTATCCAAGTCCCCAGGTGTAATAATGAATGATTCTATAGGAAAACATTGAATGATGAAGGAAATATGAGGAGAAAATGGAAGGAATGGTTAGTGTACAAAGAAAAAAAGAATTGGTCAATGACCAGCCTTTTAAGAGGCAGCATGTAATGGATCACCAATGATGTTGGAAGAAGTCCAAACTGCACTGAAGGCCTATGACAACAGCCTGACGAAGCCTTACCAGCTCTCACTTATCTACGCCAAGAAATTTCGATGCCAACTCCCTGTCCAGATAAATGGAAGAGACTTATATCTGTACACATTCCAAAGAAATGTGACCCAACAGAATGCAGAAATTATCAAACAATATCATTAATGGTGGTGTAGTGGTTGTGTGTTGAGCTGAGATCTGCATAGTCAACAGTTTGAAACCACCAGCTGCTCCTCAGGAGGAAGATGGGACTTTCTACTCCTGCAAAGCTGTAGTTTGGGAAACCCACAGGAGGGTCACTATGCTTTGGCATCAATTCTGTGGCAGCGAGAGAGATCATTACTATTACATACCAAGTAAAATTTTGCTCAAGATTATTCAAAAACAGTTACAGTACTATATTGAGAGGGAACTGCAAAAACTTCAAGCCAGATTCAGAAGAGATCCTGGGATGAGGAATACCATTGCTGGAGTCAAGGGGATCCTGGCTGAAGGCAGATAATACCAGAAAGATGTTTACTTGTGTTTATTAACTAGAAAGCCACTAAATTATATGGATCATAGTAAACTATGGCTAACATTGCAAATAAAGAGAATTCCAGAATGTTTCATTATGCTCATATGTACATAGGTCAAGAGGCAGTTGTTCAAATTGAACAAAGGGACACTGAATAGTTCAAAATCAGTAAAGGTGTGAATTACGGTTGTATCCTTTCATCATACTTACTCAATCTGTATAAAGAGCCGATAGTATGAGAAGCTAATTTATATGAAGAAGAGCACAGCATAAGGATTGGAAGAGGGCTCTTTAACAACCTGTGATATACAGAAGACACAGCCTTGCTTGCATACAGTGAAAATGGCTTGAAGTAATTACTGTTCCGGATCAAACCCTTCAGTACGGTTTGCAGCTTAATGCGGAGGGGGACAAACCACATTCCTCACCACCAGATCAACAGAGAACATCATGATAAAAGGAGAAAATAATGAAGTCATCAAGGATTTCATTTTGCTTGGACACACAATCAGTGCTCATGGAAGCAGCCATGAAGATATCAAATGACATAGTCCATTGGACAAATCTACTGCACGTCATCTTTTTAAAGTGTTAAAGAGCAAAGATGTCGCTTTGAGGATTAAGGTGTTGCTGATTAGAGCCACATTATCAATCCCCTCATTGCATGTGAAAGCTGGACAATGAATAAGAAGGACCAAAGAAGAAGTTACGTGTTTGAATGATGGTGTTGACAAAGAATTGCGGTGTTAAATAGACCATGAACTGCCAGAAGAATGACCAGATGTGTCTTGGAAGAAGTACAGCCAGAGGTTCCTTCAAAGCAAGAATAAGACTACATCTCATGGACTTTGTACATGTTGTCAGGAGAGCTCAGTCCTTGGAGAAGGACGTCGACACTTGATAAAGCAGTGAAAAAGAAGATGGCCCTCAACAAGCTGCATTGACACAGTGGCTGCAATGATGAGCTCAAAAATAACCATTGTAAAGATGGTGCGGGACCAGGCTGTTTTTCTTTCTGTTGTACAATAAGACTTCTTCCCTTTACTTTAAAAGACACTGCCATTGATCTGCCACTGGGAGATGATGAGGTTTCTTGTTTTTCTAGCGGTGGGGATAGCTGGGGTGACTCATCTATACTTTCACACCTGTAAGCTCCACTGACTCATATCATACATTTTTCAGTTGACTGGCTGGGGTTAGAAACATAATTCTATGTTAATGAAGCAGATTAAATCTAACTGACTTCTTGAGGGTTAAGCTAAAGCTTTGCCTCATTAGCCCCATCTAAACAATTGAATATTGACTAATTGATAGGTGGTGAAAAGAACTCCTTAATGGCAGAGTGTCTAATGCCCAGCACATTGCCTGT